GCAAGGTCAAAATCTAATCCTCCTCTGTGACCGTTTCACCGAGGTCCATGAATGTTTCCCCGAGTTCCTCCACACGAGTCGCATACTAGTGCATCGATTCGCCCGCGCGCATCTTCACCGTGTAGAACGCATTCCGGGCTAGGATCTTGCCGTGGAGAGTATTGTTCACGTGCATCGTCTCGAGCCGCTTCCACGCTTCATGCGCCGAAGCTTCGAGCTTGATGCACATGCGCACCGAGCTCACGAGATTGATGCCGATGCGCGAAATCAATGTAGCGAATGCCTTTTGGTCCTTCTTCTTCCATGCCGCGATGTCGTTCTCGTTGTCCGGCTTGTTCTCCATTCCATCGAAGAAACCCCAAAGTCCCCGCTCCATCATGAGCACTTGGAACTTAAACTTCCACGCGGAGTAGTTTTGTCCCGTGAAAATCGGTACCGTCGACGCGTCGAACATCGTTGCGGTTGCCCAGGGTTCACCAGAATTTACAACGACACCATCCAAGGAAGTGCGGGAGGCCTCGCTTGACGTCGGCATGCTAGCTTCTTGTTGCGCGCATAGACTCCTCCGACCAGCTCTGATACCACTGTTGTAAAGGAATCTCCTCTACTTTGCAGGAACTTGGATTTGTAATAATCACTAGAGTTCTGTCTTAGATTTTCAACGAGCCATCAATTGCGTCGATTGCCTAAGTATCGAGCGAGTTATGGCCTCTAACGTGAAAGCTATGCTCTAGGCTCAAAGATAGGATGATGCTCTCTGGAATTTGTGTCGAGTTGAACCGTGTATAGGAAACTCTGATTTTCAGAATGAAACATGCAAACAAGGCGAGCATATATATAGCTACTCAATACATCGAGTCGCGCATGTAACATCTAGTCACTACGAGATGTGTTGCGAACATTGGTGTAACATTTCAAACGGGTTGAAATTCGGTACTCGAATTTCACCAAATCCTCCTTCAATCTCGAATGTTCCTGATGCTGCCATGTGGCACCGAATTGGTGGAGTCTTCCGAATTCAAACTTCAACCCCACGCAAACCTGCAGCTCACTCGAAGGTGAGCACCAAAAACACATTCGGTGGGTTGGGGGCATACAACTACCCCACCACCGTTTTCTTTGAACGCACGCGACCTCCAACAACACCTGAAAGCCCGAGAATCACGTTAAAAAGGAGGAATAGCACGTCATGTCAAGAGCTAGCCAAAGAAAGAAAAAAACGTCACGTTAGCTGGAAACGAATTACCTACTTGACGACGTGTTTTGACAAAATAGCAGGCTCGCCACGGAGAGTAGCCAAAAACACACACTGTGACGTAAGGACAATGACAATAATGGCGACGTAAAACTGGTCAAGTGAGTGACGCCAAGAAACAGAATGGCACGACTAGTGCAACGCCCATCAAACAACACATTTTCAGGTTAATCGGCCATCCATAGCGTGCCACACAAAGCCCAAGGGAATCATGAACGATAAGCTTACCTCATAGAGCTCCAAGTATGAGCGACTGGCACAACGGTAAGCAGCCTGCGAAGAAACACACACGGTTCGAAGAAGCACTTAACATCTGACGATGTTATAAGAACTCCTTAAAGTTGTGGTCTACATACCTCCAGAGACGGGCCTTGGTTAATCACTTGAAAACCAGGTGAACCAAGTACCTGTCTGTGGAGAAACCATCGAGGCGGAAAGAGGGAGGGGACTGGGGGTTCCCAAACCAACCGAGGCCATGTTCGATAGCAGGTGTTTGTTCTGCAACGGAACGGGAGGGGGAAAAGTTTAGTGGTTGCAAAATTTTGTTGTTTCTGGTTTTGGATGAAACTCACAGAACCAACCCCCCGCGTCCCTGTTCCATTAGGCTATCGAACAGGGCCCGAAACTTGACCTAGGACTTCCGCCCTTCGGCACATTCATCCCCCAAACCTTCCCCACTCACGAAATAACAACATATTTGCTTGATTCTGTTTTCCCAACCCATCGTCCCTAGCGAAACTGAGTAGTTCTGCCAAATCTTGTTTGACTAGGTCGCACGCTCAGTTCCGGAAGAGAGCCTCTTCGTAAGCGAATCAACGTGTGTCAAAGGGTGTGCAATAGATATACCCCCAAAAAACACACAGAAGTATGTAGACCGCAGCTTTAACATTCACGCCTCCAAACGCGGGGTTTTAAACGTTGCTCTCTAAAGCACGGAAGGAAAACGATCTAAGATAGTTATCGTTTTCCCATAGCCTCCTGCAATGATTAGGAAATTGAGGCTTAGGAAGAAGACGGATATGGCGGCGTGAATGGCGGACATGGCGGAGTGGAACGAGCTCAGTGATTAATTAGCTAAGAATGACGGTTAAAAATGACGGGTTGGGAAGTAGCAGGGGGATAAGTAGTCTGAAGGTGCTGGGAGAGGAGAGGCAGAAGAAGGTGCTGTCGAAGAGCTTTGATTGGTTCGATTTAGAATGTGCCACGTAACCCAACCCATCACTGTATTCCAACATATTGAGCAAAGCGAAAACAACCGTTAAATGTAATACCAACAGGTCGAGAGAAGTGTCAGAATGTTATAGTGCTTACAATTGTGTAGGCTATAGTGGGGAAGCTCATAAGGAGTACAACCCAATTAGGGTTAGTACTTGTACCCAACTTCTGTTCAATGCATTCCTTCTTGTTCGTTAGTTTTGACATGGTTTCAGAGCAGGCCCTTCGTTAGGACCGATTTTTTTTTGGCCCACCACAGCGCTGCCCCATTAGTCGCCCCTAGCAACCCTCGTGCCGCACCTGCTGCCCCGCGCGCCGCCCTCGTGCGGCCTTCCACTCGACCCTAGGCCCCGGCCCGTCGCCCGTCGCCCGTAGGCCCGTCGCCCCTAGCCCCGGCCCGTCGCCCGTCACCCCTAGGCCCCGGCCCGCCGCCCGTCGCCCCTAGGCCCGCGCTCATCGCCCCTAGCCCCGGCCCGTCGCCCAACGCCCCTAGGCCCCGGCCCATCGCCCGTCGCCCCTAGGCCCCGGCCCGTCGCCCGACGCCCCTAGGCCACGGCCCGTCACCCGTCGCCCCGCGCCCGTCGCCTCTAGGCCCCGGCCCCGGCCAGTCGCCCGTCGCCCCTCAGCCCGTCGCCCCTAGGCCCCGGCCCCGTCGCCCGTTGCCCCTAGCCCCGGCCCGTCACCCGTCGCCCCTTGGCCCCGGCCCGACGCCCGTCGCCCCTAGGCCCGTCGCCCCTAGGCCACGGCCCGTAGCCCATCGCCCCGCGCCCGTCGCCCCTCGGCCCCGGCCCCGGCCGTCCCCCATCGCCCCTAGGCCCGTCGCCTGTCGCCCCCTAGGCCCCGGCCCGTCGCCCCTAGCCCCGGCCCGTCGCCCGTTGCCCCTAGGCCCCGGCCCGTCCCCCGTCGCCCCTAGGACCGTCGCCCGTCGCCCCCTAGGCCCCGGCCCGTCGCCCGTCGCCCCGCGCCCGTCGCCCCTAGGCCCCGGCCCGACCGTCGACCCCAGGCCCCGCGCGTCGCCCCTTGCGGCCTGCCCCTCGCCCCTGCAGCCCGCGAGCAGCCCTTGCAGCCCCGCGAGCCGCCTCTGGTGGCCCCCTAGCCTCCCCTTGCGGCTCTCTCGAAGTCCCTGCAGCCCCGCGTGCCGCCCCTTGCGACCCGCCCACCACCCCTACGCCCTCGAGCCGCCTCTCTTGCAATTTGCTTGCCCCCCCTCTCTGCTGCCTGCCCTGCTCCCAGCGCTGCCCGGCTTCCGCCCGCCCTGCGTGCTGCGCCCCTATGGCTTCTCTCCGCGTTCTCGTGTTCGATCATGAGGGCCGCCCGATCCAGTTTGACACGTGGCTGGACGACCTGCAGCTGTACCTACTCAGCGACTCTAGGGACAGTGTTTCGTTGTTTGACCACACGTCTGGTGCTGCTCCCGCCCCTCCCGCCACAGCAGACAGTGCAACTCGCTCATAGTGGCTTACTCGTGACGCTACTACTCGCTTAGCCATTCGCAACCACCTGCCATTAGCCGAATGCGCTCACTTCTGACAGCACAGGACTGCGCAGGCACTGTACGACGCTGTAATCGCCCATTACTCCTCGCCTGCCACTGCTGCTCTAGGCCGTCTTATGCTGCCCTACATGTTTCCCGAGCTGTCCGCCTTTGCCACAGTGGAGGACCTCGTTACCCACCTTCGCACTAGCGATGCTCGCTACCGCGCTGCCCTCCCAGCAGAGTTCCTTGACAGGAACCCGCCCCCGATGTACATCACTCTCTACTTTCTAGTCACCCGCTTCCCTGACTCTCTTCGCGCTGTCAGGGACCACTTTCTCGCACTTGACCCCACAGCCCTCACTGTTGACCTACTCGAGCAGCACCTCCTTGCAGCTGAGACTAGTGTAGTCGCTGTAGGTGCTGCTCGTGGCACTCCTCACACGCCCTTCTTTGAGGGGTGTTCCCCCTCCCCCCTTGCCCCCTCCTACGCCTTGGCTGCTGTAGTTGATGTCCTTGGTGCTGAGGACGTCGGGGCTGCTTCTGCTACTAAGAAGCGTCGCAGCAGCAAGGGCAAGGGTGGCAGGGGTGGTGGCGGTGGCAGCGGGGGTGGTGGTGGGGGCAGCAGTGGAGGTGGTGGAGGCAGTGGAGGTGGTGGCGGTGGTGGGAGTGGTGGCGGGAGTGGGGGCTTTGGTGGCGGCGGTGGTGGCAGCGGTGGGGGAGGCAGCAGTGGCGGCAGTGGGAGTGGTGGAGGTCGGGTTGGAGCTACTCTGCGTGGAGGTTCTGGCGGTGGCCAGAGGCAGCAGCAGAAGCGTCGGAGCGAGACCCCATCGCCCAAGCAGCTTCATGAGTGGTTGTTTCAGCATGGGGCGTCTGGGGGTAGTGGTAGCTGCCCGTATGTCATTCGCACAGGTGTTCGTGCTGGTCAAACATGCTGGTCACACTCAGCACGCTGGTTGCTGATGCAGACTGATAAAGGAGGCAGTGGTAATGCATGAGCTGACCCACACCATCCTGCTTCTTCTATGTGTCCACCCCGGCACTGCCACTCATCCAATGCTTGAAAACTTCTCTTCCTTTCTTCCTCGCCCTTTGCTCCCCTTCCCTTCCTTCCTCCTCCTCACCCCTTCCTCCCGTTCTCTTCCTTCCTCCTCCTTACCCTTTGCTCCCCTTCCCTTCCTCCCTCCTCCTCACCCCTTCCTCCCGTTCTCTTCCTTCCTCCTCCTTACCCTTTGCTCCCCTTCCCTTCCTTCCTCCTCCTCACCCCTTCCTCCCGTTCTCTTCCTTCCTCCTCCTCCCCACCCTTTCGTACTCCATCCCTGCATCTCCCCAGGCCCTTATCCTCATCCAGTGTTCCGGGTTCATCTTCCCATGCTTCCACCTCTTCCTCCCTACCCCTTTCACTCCCTTCCCTCCTAACTCCCATCACCTCTCTTCCACACCTCCAGGCCCTTGTGCTCATCCAATGCTCCGGATTCATCTCTGTGCGATCACAGCCCGACATCTTCTCACACCTCCTCCTCTTCCTCCCCACCCTCTTCGCTCCCTTCCCTCCTAACTCCCATCACCCCTCTCTACGCATCCATCCAGGCCCTTATGCTCATCCAGTGCTCCGGGTTCATCTTTGTGCGATCACAGCCCGACATCTTCCGCTCCTTTGGCTTTAAGGAGGAGCCAGTCATCATCGCCATCCTCTTGTTCCAGGTCTGTTCTTCTGTTTCAACCTACAACCTGCATGTGTTTGGCAAACGTCATTGTCTCTTTCTCTTCACATCTTTCGCTAATTTGGCTTCGGGGAGGAGCCAGTCATCATCGCCATCCTCTTGTTCTAGGTCTGTCCTTCTCTTCTATTCTTGCTGCCCTTTATCTCACCTAAATGCACCATCAAGACTCCTCTTCCACGAACCCTCTCCCTCGCGCCCCTTCCCCCACTCCAACTTGCCATCCAGACTCACATTCACCACCCTCCCCTCTCTCCCCAATCTCCCACCCCCAACTCCCACCATCAGAACCTGCCCACGCCCGTCCCTCACCTGCTTGGCTGCCAGCTTAGCAGCCTCACCAGCACCATCGCCACTTTCTTGCTGCCTTCTCTCTCACTCTAACGCACTTATTTAAACCCACTTTTCATTTTCCACCACACCTTGCTTTCCCACCCTCCTCTCTCACCACCAGCACCTGTCGACGCCCGTCTCTCACCTGCTTGACTTTGGGCTCAACATCATCAGCCGAACATTTGAATACCAGGTGATTTGCATGCATACCCATGCATAGAAGCAGCAAGTGTGGATTTTCCAGCCATTGCACAACGGTCGGACACTCGGCAGTTCCTTGTGCCTTTTTGTTATCAGTAGCGCACATGTCATTCCTTTGTGGGACCTGTGTGTAAAGAAAATCCTCTGTTTGCAGTTTCAATATGTTGCCTGCTCCTGTACCACTGCCCTGTTTTCTCTCCTGCACTATTATTGAGTGTTTGTTCTTCCTTGTGGTTCCAAGCATTCTTCTCTATCTTGTCATTTAATGTTGTTCTTGTCATTTAATGTTGTTCTTGTCATTTAATGTTGTTCTTGTCATTTAATCTTGTTCTTCGGCCTTCTTCCTGTGCGTTGGGTCTGACTTGACAGGCAGATGCATTTGCAGTAAAGATGGGGTATGCACCGAAGCTGCGATCAGGGCTGATCAAGATGCAGGTGCATAAATCCTCTTTGCCACATACGCATGTGTGGTGCAAGGCAAGTAGACTGCCCGTTAGGAACCACACAACACATGACGCATGGTGGTGTATGCATCAGAGATGCTGCCGGGACTCACCAGAGTGTTGGTCTGTTTCAAGCAGGTGTTCAGTTCCTGCCCATCCTGCCATTCACTTGATTCCTCCATCCTTCCCGCCTATCTACTCTGTGTGTGCCTCTTTCCCATAGGAGGAGAACCTATCAGCAATGATCACGGACCCCTGGTACTCCGCCTACCACTGCCCATGCTGCCACTTACACCCTCCCATCTACCCATACCACATCCTTGTCCGTCTGTGTCTCTGTGCCCCACAGGAGGAGAACCTATCAGCAATGAACACGGACCCCTGGTACTCTGCCTACCACCACTCGCACCCGTGCTTGCCTGAACGGCTTGCCACCATCGATGCCGAGGCAAAGAGGCTGGGCAAGAAGGAAGAGTGAGGGAGGGTTCTTGCACTGCCTGTGGGTGATGTTCTTAAGTCTTCTCACTTGCATGCTTGCCTCAACAGCTTGCCACCATTGCTGTCAGGGCAAAGAGGGTGTGCAAGAAGGTTACCGTCAGCCCCCAGATAGAAGCGCCCCTTGGGGTATAAAAAAACACTGTTTTTTAGGGGGTGGGCCAGGGTTTTTTTTTTTTTTTTCACTACTCGGATTTTCAGAGTTGTTTTTTTGGGAACTCTGAAATTCAGGGTTCATTATGAGCGTTACTCTGATTTGTCAAAGAAAACTTAACTTCTGGAAAAAAAAACCCTGGACAGTCAGTGTACCTATTTTTTCAACCAGCGTCCTTACAAGCATTGAACCCAAGCCTTCTTCGCTTGGGCAAAACCTCGTACCGTTGTGCTACGCGCACAATCAAGAATGAGATGCGATCATATTATACGAAGCATAATTAGCCTAGCCGTTTTCCACCAAATCAGGAAGGGGCTCGGTCGAAATGCCTATATCCTGTACAGAGAAAAATACATTCGTCAGAAATCTACACTGGTCTACCAGAGTAGCTAAAATAAAAACCCAGGCAAATCAGAGAAAACTTATCTTCCAAAAACATTACCCAGAAACGTCAGAGTGACCCCCCAAAAACCACTCTGATTTTCAGAGAAACAGAGTAATTCACTCTGATAAAAAAACCCTGGGGTGGGCTTATAATTGAGGATTTTTATAAGCGCTGGGGCTTATATAATTACATATATGAAATCTAGTTTTATTTACACCAAAGTGTTCATCTCGTCCTTACGATTTAAATCGAATTAATATTGTAGAGGGCAATGAATGTGAATTTCGCGTAAATTGGCAGTGGTTGAATCCCTGCCAACACACAGAGTCAGAATCAATCAGATTGACCCCATGAGAGCCCATTATGACTGGACGCGAAGGCATTGAGTCGCGTGAGGGTGAAGGGATTCCAAATTTTAAATGTGGGGATGCAAAATTGTGTTTCGTTACAACGTTTCCAGTAAAAATAAAACAAATATTACAAAGGGGTGGCGCTTATAATCCGTAAGCCGTTAGGGGTGGGCTTATTGTGAGAATAGTACGAGGAATGATGTGAACTAGAAAGGAGATGGGTACAAGTGTGAAAACCTACGGTAACCCTGTGACGACCGCTGCGTAGCCAAGTCGTCAACCCAAGACGCGTTTGCGTGTCTAGTGAGGACAACTGGACCCCGTCCTCCAAGCACGAGCCCCATGCCCGATGTACTGCACAAGTAGTGCAACACCCTCTTAGCGGACTCCCAGTGTCTCCCGGGCGCAACGTAGCATGCCAGGTTACTAAGAGGGTAGGCAAGGTCAGGTCGAGTGCAGGTCATCAGGTACATGAGGCAGCCCACAAGCTCTGGATACGGGCCACTCGGCTCTACGGACTCGTCCGAAGGTGGAGCTGAGAGTGAGTGACCGGTAGGCAGAGGAGTGGACTGTGGCGAGAAGTACCGGAAGCCGAAGCGCTGAAGGACCTGGTGCACCATGTGTGACTGAGTCAGGGTGATGGTGCGCCGTGCTCTGTCCCGGGTGATTTGCAAGCCAAGATAGCTGCGTAGCTCACCCAGGTTAGTGTAGGTGTGTCTCTTCTGCAGATCCGACTTCACAAGGGCCAGTGCCTCAGTGTCAGAGTGACAAAAACCAAATCGTCAACATACACGAGGATGTAGAACGGCGGCAGCGAAGAGTCGGTGCGCAGAAACAGCGACGGGACAGCAGTCGAAGGAGCAAACCCAAGAGTCGCAAGCTCGCGAGGCGCCTGGCGGAGACTGTAGACTGGCCGCCGGAGGCTCCACTGGGTACCTGCAGGAAACGACCCAGTGAAGCCAGGTGGGCGGCGCAGCTAGATCTCCTCGAGCAGGCTGCCCTGTAAGAAAGTTGTGCTGAAGTCAAGAGAGTGAAGCTCGTAGTCATGCTGAGCGGCGATGTGCAGCAGCACCCGAAGAGTGGTCATCTTCGGGGTAGGGGAGAAGGTATGGAAGAAGTCAACTCCCTGTCGCTGGCTGAAGCCTCGTGCAACATAACGAGCCTTGAAGACAAGCGTAGAACCCGGTGGCTGCTTCACCCTGAAAATCCACATGCCATCGACTATGTTCACTCCAGAAGGGGGAACTGCGTCGACGTAGGTGCCCGTGGACTTCCAGGATGCCATCTCTGCATCCATGGCTGTCTGCCACTGAGAGGAGTAGGGACCCGTAATCGCCTCTGCTTAAGAGCGCGCGGTCGGGATGTCTGGTGCATCCGGGTCTCCCTCAGGTGCAAGCAGCATGGCCACGAGATGAGGTACAGCAGCAGCAGTCAAACGAAGGGTCGGTGACAACAGTGGCTAGAAGACGTGTGACAGTATGACTAGCAGCACGAACTAAGTCAGACTCAGGGTCAGGAACGTCAGGAAGAGAGGACGCAGGAGGAGACGGCGGGGGAACTCGTAGTGGAACAGAGGAAGGACGAAGTGCCAAAATATGAGTGCCGGGGACAGGATGAGGACGCGGATGAGGAACATGACAACAAGTGCGAACAGCGTGAACAGGCGAGGCAGGACGAGACTCGGGCTCACGATGAGAAACTGAACGAGAATGAATTGACTAAGGGAAAGTTGGGTACAAATGCAAACCCTAGAAAACTGTACCCTATATGTGCTACCCCACTATAGCCTACAGTAGATATGTCATATAAATCTGACACACCCTCATAGGCAAAGTGGGGGAGAACAAGGGGTCACAAGACCAGTCAAGCAAAGCAAAGCAAGCTCAGGGTGGATCACAAAGTCACCACACATTCCGAGCACAAGTTCAAGGCCACAAGGCCAGTTCACATGCAGGATTACATATATATATAAGGCTAGACAAGCAAGAGCAGGTGTATATGTATATGCAACAGTACAAACAAGGTCAAGTGGTGAGCAAGTGAGGCAAGGTAGGCACAAGACCCAGTTGAGTACAGAAGCGCTGATGATCACAAGGCGCAAGTGCCTTGGTGAAGATATCAGCAGTGTTGGCCTCAGAGGCCACGTACGCAAGCCGCAGCTGACCACGCTGCTGTAGCTCACGAGCAAGGAAGTAGCGGAGAGCAATGTGCTTCGTTCTGTGCTCCAGTCTCTGCTCTCGACACAAGGCCAGCATGGCCTTGTTGTCTACGTACAGCACTGGAGGAGAACGAGGCGGCTCTCCGAGGTCAGTCAGCAGGTAGGTGAGCCAGCGAAGCTCCTGTGCAGCCATGGCCCCGGCGTAGATCTCAGCCTCACAACTGGAGCCGAGAACAGAAGACGAGCGGGTAGCCCGCCACGAAACAGAGCCGGAACCAAGGCTGAAGGTGTAACCCTGTGACGACCGCTGCGTAGCCTGGTCGTCAGCCCAAGAAGCGTCTGCGTGCCCAGTGAGGACCACTGGACTCTGCCCTCCAAGCACAAGCCCCATGCCCGACGTACTGCACAAGTAGCGCAACACCCTCTTCGCTGCAGCCATGTGCTCCGGTCTGTGTCTCCCAGGAGCAACATAGCGTGCGAGAATGCTAAGAGGGTATGCAAGGTCAGGTCGTGTGCAGGTCATCAGGTACATGAGGCAGCCAACAAGCTCTGGGTACGGGCCACTCGACTCTACGGACTCATCCGAAGGCAGAGCTGAGAGCAAGTGGCGAGTAGGCAGAGGAGTGGCCTGAGGCGAGGAGTACGTGAAGCCGAAGCGCTGAAGGACCTGCTGCACCATGTGTGACTGAGTCAGGGTAATGGTGCGGCGTGCTCTGTCCCGGGTGATCTGCAAGCCAAGGTAGCTGCGCAGTTCACCCAGGTCTGTGCACGTGTGTCTCTTCTGCAGCTCGGACTTCACGTGGGCGAGTCCAGCAGTGTCAGCTGTGGCAAAGACCAAGTCGTCGACGTACACGAGGATGTAGAA